AACATGCACACAGCTGAGTTCAGAGACGTCTTGGCTGGTGGCAGAAATAGATTTGCAGATGCTACTGAGAGGAGTGGGATAGACCACTGAATGGTGCTGACCATCCTTTGGGCAGGACCGAGGTGGACTTTGGTTTGGCACAGAATGATTCGATCTCGCCCATTCAGACTCAACTCAAGCTCTTTGATTCTCCTTGAAGCCAAACCACTCTTGAAACCCAACCTGCCGTGCAATTTCCACAGCCACAGAGGGCTTTGGGGAAGCGAAGAGCAGCGGAGCATGGTTAAAGAGCAGATGCGGTGGTTATAAAGAGCTCACGTGACTTTGAAGTTCCAAAAGAGCCATTGCCGAATGGGACCTGCCAACCATGGACTGGAGAGGCAGAGCCCTCTTAAGTGTGACAGAGTAAGGGGACACAAAACGCGGCCAGCGCCTCTTCGCTGGGATCTGCTGTTGGAGGAGTAGCAGAAGGACCTCGCCGAGCCAGAATCGCTTTGCCTTGGGACCACGTGTGGCAGCACCATGGCTGGGTGACTTGGCAGCAAGTTAGTTGCCCGTAATTGCCGTGCTGATGCTTTCATAACTAAGTTCCCGTGCGAGAAAGGAGGGCATGCAGCCACTCACAGCGCTTGAGAAGCCGTGCCTAAAATTAGCCTTATATTCTTACTATTACAGACTTGGGCTGGAGCGGGTGTAAGAGGAGGATCAGTGATCCTGAGGAGAAGATTCACCCTGACGCTTCATGCTGAATGGCATGAGGTTTTCTGTGGGAGATGATTTACCAGGTCAGCCAATGTGGCAATGTAGGAAAATCAGATTGCTGTGACGTAGAAGAGGGCACAAGATGAGGTTGCAACACATGCTCTTCCAGCAGAGTGAAAAATGCTTCCTCTCTTTCTAAATAAAAAAGAGAGGAAGGAGAAATGTAGGGTATTTAGTTTGCTGTCCTACATGTTTCGCCTTTGTTGCTGTCTGCTTTTTAGAGATCAATTCGTCTTAAATACTTAAGTATAAAACAGGGATTTACGTGCTGGTGCAAACTCTGCTTTTCTTCTCAGAGGAACTATCATTATTCAGATAATAAGCTCCTCAGCTTATTTTTCCTAGAAAAACAGACTTGGCTGATGTAACCCTGCCTCACCCGTTCATCTTTTTCCATGTGACGCTCAAGGGCTCCAATTCCGTTTTCTGTTTCTTCCAACAAACAGTGGCACACTGCGCTTAGACCAGGTTTTATATTCTCAAGAGTCCCACACTCGTTGATTTGAAAGCAGGAAAAACCCCTTTGAAATGTGTTGGCAAATGCTACTTGTGTGCGTTACCCTGGGTAGAGCAAGTTGGGTTACAAACCGAATGTTACCGCTCTAGTGGCTTCTTTTATTTACTGTATCGGAGCAAGACTCTATGGGGGCTATAGGACAGCTGCCCTTACGCATCGTCTCCTGTGGCTGTTGCAGACAGGGAAGCCCACGTCCCAAGCAGCTGATGTGCCTCAGGTCCTCATGATGAATGCACGAGGAATATGAACCTTCTCCAAACTCTTCTTTGAGAAGATTCTTCCTTTCATGAGCAATTCTCTGTGCTTGTGCTGCCTGCAACTCCTCTGCCAGAAAAACTGCCCCGTTTTTGCCATTTTTTGTCCTACAGCTTCCCTGTCTCCTGTTCTCAGACATGGAGGTTGTGTTCTCCTGGTCCTGTTCCCATCTTGGAGCTGCTACAATCAGACCTACTCTGTGGGGACAGAAGAGGAGCTTCCCCATTGCACGTTAACTGCCAGTCATGGGTACTCTGGAAAGGACTTTAAAATGCTGGTGCTTGGTGACTTGCAGTAATTAAGAAATCCAGAAATAACCTTTCTGTCTCAATGTTATCACCAAGGTGTGAGATATATAGGTAATATGCTCAACACCTGGAGGAGAAACTGGGCCATCTGCAAGGAAGCAAAGAGCAGGAGATAGGAACCAGTTAAGACACAAGAATATTTATTTAGAAGCTTTTATTAAAATATTAGCATGCTCCCTCCTGTGGGTAAAAATGAGAAGAGGCAAAACTGGACTGTTCAGCATCAAAAGCTCTTGCACAACAAGGGAACAAGGTGAAACATGATGGAAGAAGCCTTTGGTGGAGGATGTGGACTCACGGTGACATGAACGACAGTGTTTGCGCTGAAGAGAAGAGAGGAAAATGTTCTCTGTGCAGTCATTGCAACACCATTGCAGGAGAAATGGCGTTTGCTACTCCGGCAACAGTCAAGGCATTTAGGGCAGACATGGTAGAAGCCTTAAAATCTGAAGCTGTGCATGTTTTGGTGGACTTGTGGCCTCTGCCAGTGAAAAGGGGTGTAATTGAACAGGCGGATCAGCCGTGGCGCTGGAAGAAGCTGCCTTTTTAGGCAAAAGAGTCATCCTTCTGAGCTGCCGGTCGTGTGGGAGAGGGAAGGATCATGACTGATGTGGTGGGTGGAGGAGGAGGATGTGGAGCACAAGCTGGCACGTCATAAATAGTCAGCCATGGGTGATGCCTCCAGGACAGGGCTCATCTGAGGAGTGGACACTGCTGGCTCCACGTGGCATTGCTCCCAGGTAAGATGGGAAGGTGGGAGGACTAGTTCCCTGGGCTTTGCTTGAATCTCCTTGCTTTTGGTCGTGGAGACATGTTGGCAGGAAGGGAGTCTTCCTTTTGAGTGTCCTGACAGAGACTGGTTCAGCTGCATTTTTGCTTTGCCTGCCCTTACAGAGGGGTTGGTTTGCTGAGGTAGAAGTAAGCAGCTAACACAAACTTGCTTCTTGCTCAAGGGGAGCATTGGGGGGCCAGCAAGCTGTGGAGAGCTTCCTGGAGGAAGGAAGGAGACCACCTGCCTTCACCAGGGAGAGGGCAGCAGTGGGGGGGAAGGAGAGTCCTTGGAGGGGTTAAGGGACAACCTGCAGAAGACCACAAAAGCCTCTGGCTGGTGAGAGCAGCCCACGCTGTGAGCTCCAGAGGAGCAAGAGCTATTCTGGAAGGTCCATCAAAGTGGGGAGGTGGGACTCTGCACTGGATGCTCGTGGCTCTGGGGGGGACAACCACGTACAATTCCTGGACTGCAGGTGGGACGACAGTGAGGGTGAGAGGGCCTAAATTCCTTATAACCAAGGCAGGAAGGATAGAAAGCAGAGGGGCAATGAAGCTCCAGGCTGGGTGGACCTGGTGGTCCACCTTGGGCTTCTTGGCTTGCATCCTCTCCACACAGCAGGGTTTTGCAGCCATGTTGCCCCACGTTCAGCCCTCCCTGGCCCCCAGCAGCCTGCTGGGGCTGGTGTGGCTGGTCTTTAGCAGGTCGCAGCGATGCGAAGCCCCGTTGGGCTGGTGCCCCCCAGCCTCTCGGGCCATGCAGGGGCTGGACGGCAGCCTGAGATGCTCCTCCCAGTCGCTGATGCTGTGTGTGATGGGGAATGAGACAGCTCTTCCTATGGAAACAACCAGATGGTGCCTGCTCGCTTCTGCTTCTGCTTCTGCAAAGCCAGAGCGAGCCTGAAATAAATTAGCCGGTGTGGGAAGAAGCTCAATTCAGGGAGCTTGTGCAAAATGGGCTGCAAGCCACCAGGAAAGGGGAAAATGCATAAAACCAACCTGAAGCAAAAATGAACACAGGGTAGAAGAAACCTGGGAAGCCGGGACAACAGCAAACCAGGTTGTTTTCAGCGGTCGCAGAGCGACCAATGGACATCCCCTGTCTTGCAGGTCCAGAAGAGGCAGAACTAATTTTTGACGAGGTATCACCTGGAGATGGGCAGGCGCTTTCTAGGTGAACTGATACCTTAATAAAATGCCAGCAGAGCTGGGTGGTTTGCCCAAGGATAGGCGATAACCTTGTCTTAATTAACTCTAATTGGTTTCAGCATATTCAGACCTATGGTAGGAGTAGGGCGCAATGGGGATGGAGTTGCTGTTGGATTTCATCGGAGACTGATGTGCTTTCGCACATCCTTGTCCAAGAATTTTGCCCCTTTCCTGGCTCCCCCCTGCTCATTGTAAGCACTCAAAGTCTAACCGAGCCGCGGTGGTTGGTCTCCTTCCTGCAGTAATGTTTTGGAGGAGCCAACCCCATGGGGTGCAGAGGTTTCAAGGGCAGCTCAATGCAGGACCTGCCATCATCTTAGACTCCCTTGTCCATTTGGCAAAGAAATATTAGCAGGACTGAAGTTGGGCTTCTCCTTCTATGATAAAATAGCTCAACCTGTGTCCAGGTCTGGGCTCCCCAGTTCCAGACAGACAGGGAACTGCTGGGGAGAGTCCAGCGGAGGGCTGTGAGGATGAGGAGGGGACTGGAGCATCTCTGGTATGAGGAAAGGCTGAGAGAGCTGGGGCTGGTTAGCCTGGAGAAGAGAAGACTGAGAGGGGATCTGAATATTTAAAGAGTGGGTGTCAAGAGGAAGGGGCCAGACTCTTCTCAGTGGTGCCCAGTGACAGGACCAGGGGCAACGGGCACAAACTGGAACAAAGCAAGTTCCACCTGAACACGAGGAAAAACTTCTTCCCTCTGCGGGTGACCGAGCCCTGGGACAGGCTGCCCAGAGAGGTTGTGGAGTCTCCTTCTCTGGAGAGATCCCAAACCCACCTGGATGCGATCCTGTGTGACCTGCTCTGGGTGATCCTGCTTTGGCAGGGGGTTGGACGAGATGATCTCCAGAGGTCCTTCCAACCCCGACCAGTCTGTGGTTCTGTGATCCTGTAACCTGAAGAAAACTGTTTGGCAGCAGTAGATCAGTATTAATATTGAATTTATTTTTAGTATTTAATTAATTAGATGGTGTGGGGAAAATAGGATTTCTATTGGGAATTGCTCTCGAGTAAGGGCAGTGCCGGTGGGGTAGGCTGGGACCCGACAGCACGAACCAGCAAACCCCCATCCGCCCCTGGCTGTGAGATTGGCTCGGGGTGGGGGAGCCGTGGGGCATCATGGGGCCGAAGGCAGCCCCTTCCTCTCCTCCTCTTCCTCTCCATCCCTGTGCAGGGTGGCCATGTGTGTGGGGAAGTGCAGCCGGATCGTGGGTCCCTGCCTGCTGGTGCTGGGCACGCTGTCCATGGCAGCCAACATCCTCCTGCTCTTCCCCGGTGGGGCATCCAAGTACCTGGTGGAAGGGCACATCAGCAAGGATGCCAAGGCCATGCCAGGCATCTGGGGAGGCGGCGTCACCGTGAGTATTGCGGTTTCCATCGTGTCCTTCCTTGCGTGTCTGTGGAGCAGGGAGGAAGGGATGGAGCAAGTGGCTCCCCTTCATCACCCATCCGCTTTTCCCTTCCCGCAGGTGCTGCTGGCAGCGCAACACATCACAGCGGGGGGCTGGGCGCCGGCTGCTCTGACTGCGGCACCCGTCGCAACGTAAGGCAGCGCCGGGACCCCCGTGCCAAAGCGGTCCCCAGCAGCACGTGGTGGGATGTGGGGGGGTGCCATCTCTCCCATGGCCCTGAAGTGGGACATGGCACGGATCCCCCTTCCCCTGGTCCTGTGGTGGGACGTGACAGGGTGCCCCCTCTCCCGTCCTGGGTCATGGCAGGGTGCCCCCTCTCCCATGGCCCTGCGGTGGGATGTGGCACGGATCCCTCTCTCCCGTGGCCCCGCGGTGGGATGTTGCACGGTGCCACCTGCCCTGAGGACAGGGCTTCCCATGTGCTGGCACGGGCTCTGCCTCACCGGGCTCCGTGCGGCAGCTCCCTGCCTGTCCCTGCTCCCTGCCTGTCCCCGCTCCCTGCCCACTTCTGCCCAGCTCGAGACAACCCAGCGACGGCTCCATCCTCAGCCTTGGCTCCCCAGGGCTGGAGCCCCTTGGGGTGAAGGGGAGGGGAGTTTTCCCCCTTACCAAACTCTGCCGATAACGCGCAGCCACGTTTTGGAGCCTGCCTGACCTTCGGTCCCCCCTGCCCCCTCCCTGGGTGCTGCCCACAGGCTTTCATCTCCGCCGTGCTCTCCAAGCTGGCACTCCTGGGCGCTGCCGCCTGCTTCGTCCTCTCTGGGGTGGGTTTGACCAACGGACCCCTCTGCTTCTACAACGCCTCCGAGCACGGCGGCGGCGGGCACGGCATGCTCTGGGGTTACCCCTTCCTGGACACCGGCAGCCAGAAGCCTGACGCCAGGTGAGACAGCGGGGTTGAGTCACTGGTGTCGCCTCATCAGCTTATTGCTAATTAAGTCGGTGTTACTTATGGTGGGTGGGTTGGGTGGGCTTGCTGGTGGTGATGCAAGACCCTGGTAGCTCAAGAGGTCCTCACCTTCCATGGCTTTCTACATGGTGCTTCCCATACCCATTGCCCTGCTGACCCCACTCATCCTCGGGATGAAGGACAGGGTGTCTGGGGCACACCTCCACAACGGAAAGCCATGAGATTCCTGACCCGCCGCACGGCAGCATCTTGCATCTCCTCCTCTCCCCGTCTCGCAGGGCAGAGAACTACCTGCACGATCATCGCACCTGGAGCATCTGCCTGGAGCCGGTGGGTGTCGTCACCTGGAACGTCATCCTCTTCTCCCTCCTGCTGCTCATCAGTGCCGCCGAGATGGTGCTGGCCTCCATCCAGATCCTCAATGGCTGCCTTGGGTGCCTCTGCGGCTTTTGCGAGGGGAAATAGGGACCTGCTACGGTGCCAGGAGGCTGGTGCTCAGAGGAGGTGTCATCCCCAGGTGTCCCTCAGCTGGTGGCAAATGCCGTGGCGGGGATACGGCACAAGCTGTGATACCGGCCTGGTGCGAGACAGACAGACTCCCCCATGGGGGACAGACACCGAAGTGAGGTCGGTGTGCCAAGGGCTGCCTCCACGCAGAGCCCTCCGCCCGGGCAGTACCTCTTCCTCCACCCTGGAGCGGATGTCCTTGGGGCTGGCAGCCATTCGGGACTGAAAACCAGCCCTGTGAGCGATGGAGGTGGGGACCTGGCTCCTGGCATCCCTGCACCGAGCCCGACAACTTCTGCAGGCACTCCCCACCAGCCTCCAGTGCAAAATGTGACACGGCGGTATTTGTAGAGATAAGAGCTGGAACGTTAACTTATTTTCGTTAATCAATCTGTATTTAGGGCAGCTTGTGGTGGTGTTTGTCTCCTGCGTGGGGCAGGAGGGACGAAGGAGACTGGAGCAGCTGAGCCAGGTTCCAGCAGGGCCTGGGGAACTTGGATGGAGTTGTGCTGAAGGAGGTAGCGCTGGAATTGAGGTATAGTCCCCCAAAGTCCACCCACCCACACACACACGCGCGTGCAGCAAATGTGAGGAGCAGCTGCTCACCCCCACCGGCCGAGGACCCCATCGCACCGTCCGCTGCACTCGCAGGGGTGCCAACGGCTTCAGCACGTCCCCCGTCCCCGCGTGGGGACACAGGGACTGAGCGTGGGTGCGGGACTGAACCTGCGCGTGCTGGGAGGATGTTTGCCCCCCAAACTGGCAAGGTTCAGAGGAAAGTAGCAATGTCTGTGGTAGCTTAAAAAAAAAAAAGCAATCAGGCAGATTAAACAATAACTAGGTGATTTTGGAGAGACCATTGAGAAAAATGAATTGGCTCCAACAGGATCATTAGATAGGAGCAATAAAGAAAATAACGTAAATATTTATGATCATGGGAGGAAAACCCTCAGAGCGGAGTGGTTGTACCAGGTACGGCACAGCCGGAGCACCACACCCCGCGACCCCACACTTGGGTCTTCTCCCCTGCGTTGCTGCTGTTGCCGCCCATTATGTATTTCATGGGATGGCTCATGTGCTCGGAAAGGAGCCGGAGGCTGGGCTGGTGGCACAAGCCTCCATGCCCAACCACTATATAATTAAAAAATAGCAATAAAAATGAGATAAACCCCAGTTTTGGGATGGTAGTTCATGTCTTGTCTGTGATGTGGCCGTGCTGGCCAGGGGCGGGACCCTGGGCTGTCAGCATCCTGGTGTGCCAAGCTCTGGGTTGGTGCCCAGGGTCTGGTGTTGGGGGACC